AATCCCCATTAATTAAGATTAATTTAAGAATTCCCATTACCAAACAAATAACATTGCTACAAACTACTATAAAGTTGCTAATGGAACAATGGAAATTGTCCGCAGTTCTGTGAGCCTGCTTCTTTTAGAAGTGTGTTCCAGTTAAAAGGGAGTTCTTCCTCCCCACTATCTCCAAGAGCTTCTTATAGGGACTCATTAGGGTTCTCCCTCAAATATTGTCAAATCTTAGAACTGAGTTAAAGCTTACAGACAACTCTGCAATTGTAATTGAAAGAGGGTAATGCAACCACTGGGATCAGTAATGACCTGTTGTGGACACAAAGCATTTCAAACACTAAACTACTGAACTTGGAAATGACTACTTATCAGTCCATATTGTAGAAAACATTTGATTAGGATGATCTCACCTGAGGTATGAGGAGAATGGTCTCCATCCAGCCCTGAAGCCAGCCTCTCAGCATTGGCACCAAGGACCCCCATTGGCAAAGCCTGGTCCCCGGAGGCCAAGTCAGCCTCAGGCTCCTCACTAACAGGGAAGGGAATGTCACTCATGGCCTCCACCTTGATCTTCGGGGACTTGGAGTCCTCAAGAGCTTTCTCTGGATTTACCAGTCGCTCGTATTCCTCTGATAGATCCTTACTGAGCTGTAGGAATAAGATATTTCTGCGGTAAAGTAGGAGTCTAGATGATGTAACTGTTAAGGGTTTTCTATGAAGTCATTCAGCTCTAATTCAATGTAGAAAAAACATACAGTTAAACAGCCAGAGATATGAAACAGATTAGTATAAGACTTTGGAGGATGACAAAATGATGTTGTCTCATGTATTTATTTTTAATTTCTATTTTCTTTCCAGCCTTACCTGCAGCATGTAGCTGTGATAGTCCTTGATCCTCACTTGCCAGAATCGCTGCAAGGCCAGGACGCTGCCAATTCCCACCTCATGGAACACCTGCTCCACCACATCTGGGAAGGGACTGGCTCCAAGTCGAGCCTCCCTGTCCACTGCCACCCGCAGCAGGCGGGTTAGACGCAGGTAATGCTCGTGGACCAGGTCTGTGAGCGTCTCCAGGACGCTTTCCTGAGCAGATTCGAAGCCAGCATGGGCCAGGACGGTCGCTACAGACTGATACAGTAGCTGCCTACAGGAGGGCCAACTCAGTTCTGTGACCTGTTCGCCTTTACCTCTAAAAACAGAAGAAGGAAGGAGGAAATTTGGGATTTAGAGTCCTTCAGTGTCTAAATCTGTCTACTTGTCTATCTGTCTAGTGTCTACTTCCTTCTCCCATCAGCTGATCATGATGGGAGGTGGTCATTGATTTCCCATGAAATTCATTTTTATAGATATAGAGGTATTGATTTAGAAAAGAGGACTGCAATCTGAAACTTACTTATAAAAGTCACTTTCAGGGTCGCTGTGGCGGAGCTGAAAGGGCTGTCGGGGGGCTTTGCTATCCACAGGTAGCAGGTCATCTGGCATAACAGGTGGGGTGGGAGGGCGTAACAGCAGGTTGGTATCAGCCTCGTCCAGCTTGCTGCCACCCTCGGAGGATGTTGAGCTCTGACCCTGAGATTGGGCTTGGGCTGCTGCCAGAAGACCTCGGAGACGGCGAACGTGCTGGCACAGCTGCACTGTGTGGATGGTGAGGCTGCACGGCTCAGAGGGGATATCAAGCATTGTGGTGGGCCGTGGGCGCTGTGCAGAGGGCTGGTGCAAGGGAGGGTCCTGCATCTCCACGGAGCGAAACTCACGCTGGAGCAAGTCAAAGGAACTGCGACTGGGAGGAGCCCCCGCAGGCCCCGGGATCTCACCCCAGTAACGCATCATGACGACACAAGGAGAATATAGACTGCAGTTGAGACTAAAACAGAAAGGGGGTATAGAAAATGTGAATAAGTTCAAAAAAGTGTGCAGCTGCCAAAGGAACACACTGAGCTTTGCTGAATCAAAGCTACCCTTTCGTCAGGTATTTAGTTAAGGCAATGAGCCTCTCTTAACATAATTAACAGTAAACCTATAAGTATTTTAGGCTCGCATAAATTAAAACCTACTGTACAAAACAAAAGATTGTCACGTATTTCTGTTAAAACTCTTGTGATTTAGTTTGCTGGGATTTCAAAGCCTCTTTAGAGAGGGACCAAAACTGTTTTATTTCTCACCCTAACAGAAGTCTATGAAGCTTCCTGCTATTTCTTGCAATGTTACAAGCATAGGTGTAATTCAAACCCCACTGTAAAATGTAAATAAATAAAAATAAAGTTAGTTATTTACAAGAAAACACTTGAACAATTCAATTTACGTTATTATCCTGATCCACTCTGCACCACCAGTATTGCAATTACTTTAAATATTCTGCGAGGCCAATCACCCTCAATAATGTCCAGCTTTCGGGTTGTACTTAAATGCCTCTTGACAAAAGGTCTCTAAATAAAACCAATTCGTTAAATGTATACGACTCCGGTTAATTTTAGAGCAAATTACGCCAAATGTTGATCACAGGCGAACAATTTTAAACAAAGTTGAAGTTGTGAAATACTGGTTTTGTGAAAAGCTGAAAACGCTAACACAACATTTAAAAGATCTGTTACAACTACATTGTTATCTCATGATCACTTTTCGTACATTTGACATACTTTAAGGGCAACATTTATGATAAACCAAGACAGCGTGGCTAGCAGCCTCTCCGAACTTAATAACTGATGAAAGAGCGGCAGGATACATGTCTATTCGCTATGCTTTTATATGCCGAAAAGAAGATCAAACTGCATTGGTTCCTTTAAAGTCTGAAGTCTATGATTAACAAAAACTGATGTATTTCGAATGACAGAAAAACGCACAAAATGTCTGTTGTCTGGCTGGAGTATAAAGCTGGGTTCCAGGACCTTTGCGGTTTGAGTTACTGATGCCCTCGTTTATTTTAACTCAACGCCGAACTACATATTTTAATGCATCACGAGCATGTTTATTAATGTAAATGAGGTTTAAAAAACACATTGCTGTTACCCTGGGATGGAGGAAACGTCTGCTGTTGATTGAATGTTGAAGAAAGCTGAACAGGAAACTAAGGGTTTTCGTCCTTGGAGGAAAAGAACTCGGGTAAACAGCTATGTTGAATGTTTAGTTCCACAACAAAACGTTCGTTTTGAATTGTACAAATTAAAAAATATAGTCATGTAACGTGAGACTGTTTAAGAATTTATAATATCCGACGGCTTTCCTTCGATTTACATAATTGATCAGATGTAGTTGTAAATTTTTAAAGGTTAAAGTACCCGGTCAGGTTTCAGAGCTGCACCAAATAAACATGGCCGCCTCCCCGCCAGCAGCAGACGTGATGGACACAAGCGACGAAATGAACTCTGTAATGGACTCTAATGAGCGTTTGGCACCAGAAAATGGAGAGGAAGCCGGAGAGAAAGACTCGGGTAAAACTAAACAACCAGAAGCGGAGGAACCTTTCAAGAAACCGGCTCTTTTTGCGGCGCCTAGCTTCACCGCAAAACGCACCAACGTCACTGCTCCGTCCAAACCCATCACAGAAAATAAAGCTGACGGCGAAGGCAAAACTTCTGAAAAAGGCCAAGAAAAGGACAAAAAGTCCGAAAAGGACAAAACCAAACCAGAAGCTAAACCTCGAGCGTTCACTCCTAAAGCCCCCCAAGTTGGCAAATTACCCCCTCTCCCTTACACAGAGCCTCCCTGGGGTGGCACTGCTTCAGATACCCCGTACGCTCTTGAAATCCTAAAAAATGGCACCATAGTGGATCAGGTACCATTAGTGGACAAAAGCTACTTTGTGGTTGGACGTTTACCTGTGTGCGATCTCTCCCTGGAGCACCCCTCAATCTCCAGATACCACGCAGTGATTCAATACCGTGGAGAGGCCGGAGAGGACGCGGGCTGCATGGGAGAAGAGAAGGGCTTCTACATCTACGACTTGAGCAGCACGCACGGCACTGTGGTGAACAAGAACAAGATCCCACCGAAAACTTACATCAGAGTCCGCGTGGGGCACGTGTTGAAGTTTGGAGGAAGCACGAGGCTTTTTATCCTGCAGGTAATGTCTGTTGTGGTGATCAACGATGACAGGGAGGGTCTCTAAATTGTCTTGATTTTAGCTGTTTGACACAGTGCTAATCTTGCCTGGTTGAGCTGATCAAGTTCTCTTGTGGATTCCTTGCAGCTACACAAAATTGTTTCTCTGTAGAATAAACAAAGGAAATTGTATTATGATTGGGCGACCGTGGCTCAAGAGTTCGCCTTGTAATCGGAAGGTTGCCGGTTCGAGCCCCGGTGTTCCAGATCTACTGGCGTTTAGATCAACTGGCGTTGGTCGAACAGATGTGTGGCAGTCTTGCGTTTCAGGAGCTGCTACCGACAAATCAGCAAAAACACGCCAAATGTGTCATCTGTGACACTTGTGAGGTTATCTCGAACACACTCCGTCAGTCTTGATGCTGTTGAACAACACAATGTTTAAAAATGTCGCGAGTTTACCTGGTGATATCCTCATGCGCGACGCGATCGCGAAAACAGCAAACAATTAACACTACACCGATGTTGTTCACAGGTCAGCAAGAGTAAACGATCGGGAGACTCTTGTCGTCGTTATCGTTCCCCTCGCACGTTTTATTTCTCCGGTTTCAGCGTTTTTGCTTCACAACTAAAGCGAGCAGTTTACTTTGTGCACTAACATGGACTCGAGTCAACCAACGCCACCTCTGGCCAAGTGCCACAGCCTACAGCCAGATCAACCTGTGACACACATCTGCAGCACGTTTGAATTCGTTTCATGCACAACACATCTGTAGCTTTCAATTGTCTCTGTTTGTGCGTCATGCAAATAAACCTTTGACAAGAACGAAATGATATCATATATTCCTTATTGGCCTACATTTGTACAAAATTCCAAATTATATACACAAAGTCATAGAAATCACCACCCCTGTTCATCATGATTTTAATATTCTCTTTTTCCATAACAATGAAATACGCCTTGGACAAATATGACACATTATTTCATTAGTGTTGTCACATCACATCCTGTAAGCAGAGTCTGCCTGTGTCTTTTCTCTGGAAATGAATATTTCCAGCCAATATAGGCAATCCATCAACATGGCTGGAGAGTTGGTAGTTATATACAGTCTGTATAAGTGTGGTTAATCTAATGAACATTTGCAAGGAGATGGCAGTTACTGTGAATTTACAGCAGTTACACAGTGATTAGCAATAAACAGCCAGTGAGAGTGAGTGGATTTAAGAAAGTCAGTGACTCAGGTGTGTCGCTTGGTTTGTCATCTGTTTGTCAGACTGGAGGAGACGTAGAAATCTTTTGTTTTAAATCGAAGTTAGGAAGATTCCTGTTTTAAAACAAGCACTTTTTGTGAGAAATGCAAGAAGTACATCTGCAGAAAGCACACAGTTACATTCTGTCCATCATGTGGACAAAACTGAAAATGTTGAACATTGAAAAACTGAGAACGTTGGGTTCAAAAGAAATGTGTTTGTAAGAACAAAAAACCAAATTGTTCCTACAATAGTTATGGAAAGTCAAACTGTTGTATGTCTGTGTTCTACATGTTTATCTCATGGGAAATAAAGTTGCTATTGTTTCAGTGCAGTTTTTTGACTATCCTGAGTGGATTTACACAGTACAGGTCAAAATGACCCGCAACAAAATCAATGTCATTTTTTTTGTTTTTCAACATAATACAAGGGTTAATTTCCAAAACTTGTTGCATATGATCTTCAATTTGAAGCAGATCCACTATCACATAGCAGCTGGAGCAGTCTCCAATGGAGGTCAGTCCACTGCTGCCACCTGTGGCCAAATACCACAACCTACTACTAGATTAACTTGTGACACATCTGCACCTGCTGCTATGATCACATTGAGTAGAGGCTGAGTGGCTGCACTTACTCCTGGTACATCCAAATCTACCCACAAACATGTTGAAAGATGCAATCCCAGCAATGTGGATTGTCAACACTAAAAACAATCAGTAAGCAAAGACAACAGGGATCAATTTTCTCTGTTTATTTAGCACCCACAACATTAGTAGTCGCCTTCTGCACAAGGGAAGTCCACACACACTGTGTGGTACCACTTTCCGCAGAAGGTGCAATCTGAAAGATTGAATGAGATTGTCGGGGTCATTGTCTGACTGTTTATTACTAATCACCTGCTGTACATTCACAAATCTGCAATCTCCTTACAAATGTTTATTAGATTAACCATACTTATACAGACTGTATATAACAACCAACTCTAAAATGTTTGTTCGCAGAGAAAAGACACAGACAGACTACGCTAACGACATGTGATGTTACAACACTAGTGAAATATTAGTGTCATTTCATTCTTGTCAAAGGTTTATTTGCATGACGCACAAACAGAGACAATTGAAAGGTACAAATGTGTTGTGCATGAAACGAATTCAAACGTGCTGCAGATGTGTGTCACAGGTTGATCTGGCTGTAGGCTGTGGCACTTGGCCAGAGGTGGCGCTGGTTGACTCGAGTCCATGTTAGTGCACAAAGTAAACTGCTCGCTTTAGTTGTGAAGCAAAAACGCTGAAATTGGAGAAATAAAACGTGCGAGGGGAACGATAACGACGACAAGAGTCTCCAGATCGTTTACTCTTGCTGACCTGTGAACAACATCGGCGTAGTGTTAATTATTTGCTGTTTTCGCGATCGCGTCGCGCATGAGGATATCACCAGGTAAACTCGCGACATTTTTAAACATTGTGTTGTTCAACAGCATCAAGACTGACGGAGTGTGTTCGAGATAACCTCACAAGTGTCACAGATGACACATTTGGCGTGTTTTTGCTGATTTGTCGGTAGCAGCTCCTGAAACGCAAGACTGCCACACATCTGTTCGACCAACGCCAGTTGATCTAAACGCCAGTAGATCTGGAACACCGGCTCCGACACTCTCGGTCGTGTCCTTGGGCAAGACACTTCACCTACCGCCTACCGGTGTTGGCCAGAAGGGCCGATGGCGCGATATGGCAGCCTCACTTCTGTCAGTCTGCCCCCGGGCAGCTGTGGCTACAACTGTAGCTGCCTCCACCAGTGTGTGAATGGGTGGATGACTGGGTGTGTAAAGCGCTTTGGGGTCCCTAGGCGGGACTAGTAAAAGCGCTATACAAATACAGGCCATTTACCATTTTTACCATTGGTTATGGCATTTGAGCAGCAGATGGGTGCGGCTTCTGTGTGCCTAACTATAGCTATGGCATCATACAGATTAAAGTGTTGGGGAAAACTGTAAGAAATGCCATGTTTAGAGCTTTCAGCTTACACAAATTATCTACACACTGAAACAGGATATATATGACGGAAAATACAAAAAAGACAACAGGTCTGTTTTAATATAGAGGCAATATTCTTCATATGTACCAGCAGTATGATAGTTACTTTAAAAAGGCAGAATGATGTGACTGCTACTTGCCACAATATATAATAATACTTAGTAAGTGGTGTGAAAACACCACTTGTCATACCACCATATGTTACACTACAGGTACCACACACATCAGTTACCGCAAGCATCTTTTGCCGCATCATTGTTTACTTTTGAAAGGTTACATCAGCGTGTATCTGACATGATACAAGAAAGAATCAAGTTGTTTGTTTTTTTTAATTTTTATATTAAGCTGTTAATCCATTAATCATTAAAAATATATTATTGATTTTGAGATTTTGAGTGCCGTTTTTAGCCAGCCTTTTACATCAGGGATGTTTTGGATGCATGAATTTGGAGAAGGCATTCAACTTCATACCTCAGGGCAGTCCTTTGGTCAATGTTTTTGGAGTATGACCCTTTATTATGAGTTATTCAGTCCCTGTGCAACTGTATGTAAACCTGGTTAGCATTGACTGCACTAAGTTAGACTCATGAGAGTCTAACTTAGTGCAGCCAGGGCTGCACTTTATCAATGATTCTTTCCATAACTCTTATGGACAGAATTTTTAAATACAGCCAGAAGGTGAAGGGTGGCTGGTGGCCTTAGAATCACAACTTTCCTTTTGTGAATGATGCCTGCTGGCTTTACCGAGCAGTGAAATCCAGCTTGTGCTCCGTATGATGAGTTCAGTTATCTTGGGGTCTTCCTACCCTGGGGAGAGGTGGGATGAGAGAATAGACTGGTGCTGCTCAACATCAAAAAGAGCCAAAAGACGTGTAAAGCTGCTCCTGTATGTGTGCTTGCTGAGGTGTTTCTGGGCATGTCCATTAGGGAGGAGATTCAGGACAGGCTACAGAGAACATTTCTTTTAACTGGTTTGAAATGCCATGCTGTGTTTCTAGAAGAGCTGGGGAGAGAGAAGCTTGTGTGTTATGCAAAGAAAAAGAATCATCTATCAACCAAAATTACAAACATCCAGTACTGTAACTGATTTCTGCTTCATGTACCAGAAAAATGTTTTATGCATGTAAGATTTTCCGTGTCTAAAACAGTGTGAAAGGATATATTTAACAAAAGAGTAAACATTGTTGAGTGTTCAGCTTCGTTTTCTTTTTGCAGGGTCCAGAGTTTGATGAGGAAGACGAGTCTGAACTGACAGTGACAGAGTTGAGGGAAAAAGCTCGCAAACAGAAGGAAGAGCTGGAGAGGAGGATGATGGGAGATGGTTCTGATGAGGAAAAGGAAGAAAAGGAGGAGGATGAAAACAAGGGCGATGGCAGAGTGTCAAATGAAGACTCTGGCTGTTCGTGGGGAATGGGTGAGTGTGTCACTGCCGTTGCTGGATGAAGCTGGAGTGTGTTACATGTCATTTGGTTTGGTAAATGATTTCGGTGTTTTGGGTCTTTCTCTTACCTTTCACATTACCTCTGCACAAATCCTCCCTGCAGCCGAAGAAGCAGCACCAGAGGAAGACGAGAACGAGGAAAACCCCTTTTCAACAGAATTCCACGAAGACCAGGAAGCAGCCTACCTGAAGGACCCCAAGAAGGCTTTGCAGGGCTTTTATGACAGAGAAGGTGAGAAGAAGTTTTGCAGGGCATTAAGAGACTGAAATCAAAATCAAGGAAATTAAGGTCTGTACATATTTGCTGGAAAAAAAAAATCAGTTACTCCAAAAGGTCGAGGGTTATTTTGGGCAAGTTGGCCTAAGATAGTTAAAAAACATACTTCAAAATGAAGGGTCCAAATTCTTTGTTTGTTTTTATGACCAACAGCTGAAAATCCAAAAAAAAACTTTACTGTCTTATGAGATTAAAAAATGGTTAAATACTCTCTATTGTAGGGGTTAAAGAATATACTAACTAGCAGTTAACTAGAACTCACAGACAACAGATTCTGCTTTTTTTTTCACTGAACTTCTTTGCTTGTCTTCTGTAGGGGAGGAGCTGGAGTTTGAGTATGAGGACAAGAACCACGGCACCTGGCTTTGTAGAATAAAGTAAGGGGAATAAATTCTTTTGTTTTTTTTCCAGGCAGGCTGTGAAGTGTTTATCGAGCTGTATGTGCTGACTGTTAATTTTATTTTATTTTTTAAAAAACAGGCTGCCGGTGGACGACGCTACGGGTCGGCAGCTGGTTGCAGAGGTGACCCACACAGGAAAGAAGAAAGAAGCTGCCATCCAGTGCTGCCTGGAGGCGTGTCGAATGCTGGAAGCCAGAGGGCTGCTGCGCCAGGAAGCAGGTTTGTGTGCTCAGTCCCGTGTTGAGAGGACTGGAAGTTGTGTTGGAAAATTCAATGAGAGTTTCTGCATCTGATTTTCAGTGTCCCGTAAGCGCAAGAAGAAGAACTGGGAAGACGATGACTACTATGACAGCGATGATGACACCTTCCTGGATAGAACCGGCACAGTGGAGAGGAAAAGGCAGGAACGAATGAAGAAAGCGGGAAAGCTCGAGGAGCGGCCCGAGACCTATGACTCACTGGTAAACATCTGCATAGTTTTATAAATGACAGGAGTGTAAAAACAACAGACAACAGTGAGAGCATCAACTGGGTACTGTCTTTCAGGCTGTTTTCTGAAAGTTTTAAGGGCTCCACTGTCTGCAAGGGGACCTATTCTGTAAATTTCCAGCTCCATATTTATATGCTGGGCCATGGTGCCGCCCCTCAGTTCATCCTGTCTAAAACAAACTTTCTTAGCTCCTTGGGTTGCTTTAACCATCTTTCTTATGACTGGCTTCCTTTCACAGACAGAAAAGCAGCAGGTGGGTGGAGCCAGAGGTGCATGCCTAAGAATACCTAAATGGGATATTCTGTTAGCCAAGAGTAGGAAAATGAGTAAAGAAAACTCTGTATTTAGTCATGTTTAATATCAACATCCAGCACTTGACATTGTTAAAAATCTTTACACTTTTGTCTTCGGTTGGTCTGGGATAGCTAGATCACCTGGTAAAGGACATCCATTACCAGGCCCCACTACAATCTCCACTTTTTTAGAGAAGCTGGTGCTAAATAACTTGTAAATTACCTGTCACTGTCATTTTGTACATTATCACAAATTTCTAAGCTTCAATTATTCATTGAAGTCCTAAGAGCTTCCAGAGTCTGCTTTGTGCACAATATACTCAAAAATGATACTTCGCCATCAGATACACGGACATTGTAGACACGTGGTCATGTCCTCTATCATCATGATGTGGCTCATGCAGTGTCCGGCACCATCACAATTCTCCTTTTCTTTGATGAGACATGAGAAAAAATATTAACAGTATTTTGTGAAAGGAAAAAGGTTGCCCATGGTTACTGGCTCATTTAAAAAAAAATCCAGGTTCTCACTAGCTTTGGTTAACTCAGGTGTTCTTCCTGTGTTACGGTGGACGATTTATACTGGTCTACATTTCCACCATCTGTATAGCGCAATTGTTAGGTTATTGTTCAATCACAACAAGAGGAATTCTGGGCTCAGATCTCCTGGTCTGCCTACGCTAGCATCCTCCCACAGTCCAACACATGTAAGTCAGCTTAAGTGATTATTAGGTAAATAGATCACATGTGTTGAAAATATGCTACATGACTATAGGTGAACAGGTGAAATGTGGCTTATGTTGTCAGTGAGACTAGAAGAGCTTTATATAAATGTCCCTTTTAATGAAGTTTACTCATGTAGTGTGTCCAGGACTTGCCACAAACTGAGAAGGAGATTTTATACCTGACAGACAAATCAAGAGCATTTAAAGCATCATCAGCCATTAAAACACATCTAAAGAAAGAAGCGATTTTCTGTACGTGTCCGTAACTGTTGATTATTTTTCTGTAGGTGGCCAAACTGGAAGAGGTGGAGAAGGAGTTGGCAGAGACTCAGAAAAAGCTCAGTGCTGGAAAAGGAGGTGAGCTGTGATCACCTGTTCACACTTCTACAGACTTTAAAAGGTCCAGTCTGTAACTTTTCACTCCTATCAGAGTCTTTGACGTCATCGACTGAGGACTCGCTGGAGGCCTTCATGACCGCAGTGAAAAGCGAGGTAGCGATGGACGCGGTGGAGCGCAGGAAGCTTCACGTGCACATGGCCGACTTGCGGAAAGATGCTCAGAGGCTCCGCAAACTGGTTGAACTCACGAGGCCAGCGCAGATGCCCTCCTTGCTGCCCGGGTCAGACGAAGCAGCAGTTTTTAACCTAAAAGTTATCTTTAGAAACGTGTCAGATTGAAGTTGATATTTTGATCTGTCTCGATTTGATAGCAGCTCAGAGCAGAAGTCGAAAAAGACCCTGCCGATGTTTGGAGCCATGAAGGGAGGGAGCAAATTCAAACTGAAAACTGGTACTATTGGGGTATGTGCTTTTTGACGTGCTTGCATTTCCACTGAAGTTGGTGCTTTTAAGTTGTAACTTTATGCATGATATGAATTCTTCAAATACTCCCCTACCAGCTGTGACTTTTAAATGTACTATATGTAAGACCTGCATGAACTGTGCATCCTTTGTACTCAAGGTCCTGATCAGATAGAAATAAGTTAATATAAGACAAGGGTTTCCTGCATAAATTGAGCCTTTTAGGGTGACTACATATGAAGTCTGGGTTAATAAAAATGTCTGACATAATAACTGCACAATTACTAAAAAGCTTGATAGCTAGCCAGATGGCGTAGCAGACTTGGGAAAGGCCTTGCGCTGTAGTAAAAATAGATGAAGGATAAAGAAAAGAGAGCACTAAGCAAGGAGCTCATTGTTGTGCCTGTACTGGACTTTTACTGTGGGCCAGGCTCAAGTTACTCTGCCCATGCAGCTACAGCAAACCATGGGAGGCAAAGGTAACTGTAATGGTGCAGGGTTCTTGTAAGGGATTTCACTTATTTGGTTCTTGTTATTGGTTTTTTTTGGTCACTGCCCTTCTCCTTATTTCCCAAATTGTACATTCTCTCCACGAGAATGAGAGCCAAGCACACGAGGTGAGGAAGAGACTGTCAGACTTTCTGTCCTTTACTATCTTAAATAATTGATACAACATGAATAAAAAGGACCAGTGGCTTTAAGAGTCCTCCTCTCACCCTGGCTTTTACAGTACAGCTGTTAGTTACACCTCTTTTATATCTGAAGATAAAAACACTGTTACACAATTGAAAATGATAAACTCCAGTGCATCATTTGGAACTGATACATCCTTCAGCATGGCATTGTGAGAGCGACATCCAGGCCACAGGCAGTAGGATGGAGGATGAAGGAGAGAAGGAAGCACCTCTGCCTGCTTTCCTTGTTTCCATTTCCTGCTTTATTATGATAATTGCTTTTCCTTGTATTGTATGTCACCCTCCCTTAAGTTGTGGCCTTTATCTCCCTACTAACAGAGCTCAGTTGTTTGTTTGTGTGGTTTGTTTTATTTAAAAATTTTTGTACTTAATAAAATACTGTGATGCTAATTTTAGATCAAAGCACCCAGCACTAACTGCATTGTCTTCTCTCTTGCAGAAGTTGCCTCCTAAGCGGCCTAACCTGCCTGCTGAGCTCTTCAACATGAAAGAACTTCCACCTGATGGGGAAGAAGAAGAAGAGGAGGAGGAGGAGGAGGAAGAAGAAGAAAAAGCACAAGAAGAAGGGGAGGCAGTGGCAGACAAAAGTGAGGATAATGATGAACTACCTGGTAAAAGTATTGCTGAGTCCGGCGCATCGACATCTAAAGAATCGTCTCCTTCTGAGAATAAAAGAGATCAACTTAAAGTCTCAGAACACCTGAAAGGTAAAAGCACAAAAACATGCAGAATGCCTTTTTTATGTTCATGCATTTAATTGAAATTTTTCTTTAAGCCACTGGATGGCAGTAAATCTGCAATGCATGCTGCTGTCATACTGTAACGCCTCCTCGTACATATAAACAGATTAAATATGTCGCAGTGAAATGCTTAGATCTCCTTCTTTCATGTTCTATTTTTTGCACTTTAGGTACAAAGTCAAGTAATATCTGTCCCTGTGGCTCGTATTTAAAGTCTTAACAGGATGTGCTGAATCGTGCGTGTCCTCATTATTACACACTTTATTTCTGTTTTCATGCCTTCATGTCAGATCAAAGCCACAAACAGCAGAGGAGGAGTGGGGAGTCTGAAGCAGCGGAGCAGGTTCCCGAGCATAGCGGCAACAAGCCGGCGGCCCTTTCGAGTCCAGGTGTCGTGTTTTATTGCTTTAAAATATTTCTCTGTACTCTCTCTTAGATGTAGTGTTAAATCTTCTTTCCCCAAAAAAAGATTAGCACAACCTTTATAGCACATAAATGTCCTTTTTCTGAATTTGAACTTTATTGCTAAGACTTTGACATCTGAGTGACCTTTGCAAGAGTCGAGGTGGAGGAATGCAGCGAGGGCGTTTTTTTTTTTTCTGTTTGGGAGCAAGATCGCAGAAAAACAATCTGGATGATTGTCATGAAACATGGTGGAGACCTGGTGCATGAAACACAGAAGAAGTCTTGAGCTTGTCCTTAAAATGATTGTATCCAGTTGGTATTATTGATGCTATTTAATTCCATTCTTATGAACAGTACATTTGCAGAATGACTTAAACTAGCCCACTATCAGTCATTGAGCTAATATACTGTTTATAAGATTGGGGAAACCTGCAGTCAGCTGAGACCGAAGAAGTCACTTGGATGAGTGACGAAACGATTCTCCCACTGAAAACGCTACGTCCAGATGAACAGAATCAACCTTTTGGGATTTACTTACCTGGATGATGAGCATGCATCAACTATTTGGTGCTCCACCACTAATTTACATTACCTGCATGTCCCCAGAGTCCAAATCCAAAGGTGCCGGCGAGCCAGCGACAGACCCCAGCCCCAAGAAAAAGAAGAGAGCGATGGGCCCCGGCAGGGTAGGCCCATACTCACAGCAGTAAATGTATACCTGTACAGTTTATTGCCACATGAATGCATAAAGGGAATTTCCTCATGTGTCTCCACAGCCTCCTGTGCAGCTGTCAGCACAGTATCCACAAGACGACCCCGATTATTCTGTGTGGGTGCCTCCTGCAGGTAAACCTCCCGAGCTGTGTGACTGACGATCAGCTGATCACTTCCCTGCATCACACTCAATCTTGTTAAGCAGCAGGAACAGTAGCGGTTAGGTTAACCCTGCTGTTGTTTTAAGAGATAGAATTACAGCAGTTCTTTTGACTCGCTGACACCGGCCGGGTTGCATGTTTCCTCTGCTGGAATGAAGAAAGGCCCAAATATTTTCCTGACCAAAGGAATCAAACAGGCTTTCATGGTACATTTGCACAGCTGAAATAGCTGCAACATTTTCCTTGTTTGCTGAGGAATGCAGATCAAGTCACAATTAAGGGATACGATAAGCTTGAATTGCATAAACAGCTGCCAGATTGAGCTTTTATTCTAGGTCAGATTTAACTGCACTGCTGCATTTAGGTTAATGATGAGGTATGCAAACGCATGTGATACTCCTGTTGCCCAGTTTGACAAGAATTTGCTTTTTAGTTTCTATGCGTGAGGAGGAGGATGCACCTTTTGTGTTTACTCGTGTCTTTTCTTCACTTGTAGGTCAGACTGGAGATGGACGCACACACCTAAATGACAAGTATGGCTACTGAGGGGGAAACATAACAGAGCTCTTCTGTTTCTACGCGAGATAATACCTGCAGTACAAAGCCTCCAGTCTCCTTAGCCCCGACCATTAACCCCCTCCAACCCAGCCCAACCACTGCTTAACAACACAGAAGCCTGTAACAGAGCGGGACGGGCTGAGACAGTAATGCTGCACGTTTTTACTTCTCTCTCTAGGAGATTATTCGAAACGGCACACCGTTTGGGTTCACATTAAACAAGCAGAGCGGACTCTGGGCAGCCAGTGTGCTGGCACTCTTCCCCACTCATAATAATGGAGTTGGATAGCACTTGAATTTTTTACTTTTTAAAGAAAAAAATTAAAAGGAAAGGTGGGAAATTTCAATTGAATTTTGAGCAGAAAATATGAGGAGACAGAGCAAGAGCAGCAACTGATCCAAATTCAGCTTTCTAGTCTTTGGCTGCTCCTCTTGCAGTTAAATCCACCTGACATCCAATCTGTATCCCTCCCCTGTTTGGCTTCAGTCGCTTGCTGGCATAACCTTTTTTTTCCTCCTCCAAAGGAGTGTGTGTAGCAGGGAGGGAGAAAGAGGGAGAGCATTGGAGCAGCTTTTCTGACCATCTGGACACTTGGATAGCTTACTGGATGAAACGCAAGCTGATAATGACTCAAGCTAAGTGGAGTGTGTGTGTCTGTATCCATTCAGACACACACACACAGCCCAACCTTCTCAAAGTTCTATTTTTTTTTTTTTTAACAAGATTGCCTTTATGAGCGAGTTAGCGGTTGGTGTGCGTTTGCCCGGAGCAGGATTCCTCGCTTTGCAAAATCCCACTCATTGCTGTTCTCTTGGTTTCCTGCCAGACTTTCCACCCTCTTTCCTGTTGTCTTTGCTCAAAACACAAGTTAATAAACTGTATTTTGTTACATAAATGTATAATAAAATTGTCTGTACATAACCTCAGAGCTACTCTGTTTTGTTGCTTTAGGATGATCTGAAACTTTCCCTCTCTGGGGCTCCACTTCTCAGCGAAGCCGGTTTTGACGTCAGACTTTCTTTTTCTCCCTTTCAAGCTCCCTCTCACACACACAAAGAGCGTTTCTCTGGCCGCGATTGAGTACAAAGAGGCTTCTGGTCTTGGCTGTAGGTCTTTGCAGTGACCTACTAATAAGCCGATAGATTCCTGAAACACAGGGAGACCCTTCTCAGGCACAGACAGCATGATGAAACATAAGCTTGAACACAGGCAAAAGAACAGGAAAAAGTAGCAGATTAGATTAATAAATTCTTGGATTTTCTTTTGTCCTGTCAAACTCGAGAGATCTAAAACCATCATTTTTGAGAAAAGCCCTAGAATCATCAACAAGGATTTCTGCTGAATACAGTGCCTTATGTTTTGTTCGGTGGTGGTTTTATATAAGCAACAACTTCCTGGATTTTGTTTTTGCTGCCAGAGAGCACCTGTCAGATCAGCCTTCAGAACCAGTTAGCACTTCCTTCCTTAGAGCTAAACTGTAGTTTGGGGTTGACAGCTGGCCAGGAGGCAGTGAACATAAAGTGGTAGAAGATAAATATTTAAATAAATTTTTAACTTTTGCAGAAATCAAACTGAAAAAAAAAAATGTGGCTGAGCAACTTGTCCTGGGTGTAATTTTAGACATTTCACCTAAACCAAGAGTCTTCCATTAGCAGAAAATATTTTACTGGTGTTTTTTTTTCCCTCCCACTTTCCAGGTGTTGCGCAGAGGAGAGCTGGTATGCAATTCACTTGTGAGCTTTGTTGTTGAGTGAGCAGTGAGTGTCCGCCTGTTGGCTTCATTTAAGTATTAGGCACACCACAGCATCACAAGCCACTTTAAGTGCGCTTTAATTTCATGCATATAACCTGGAGCAGCTGAGAATTTGTAGCAGCAGCCTTGTAGCGATGACCTTCCAAACAAACTTCCGTCTGTGTATAAGAAGCAGCTGCTGTGGTGGTTGAATTTACTACCACTAAAGGAAGACTTTGTTTTGTTAAACTACAGCTGACAAATGGCATCAACATTAGCTAACTAATTGTTTATTGGCTTCACTGAAAGAAAAATTAAAGGCTGTATGTGGGTTTAGTTAAATTGACATATGGTATCATTTACGTATTTGTGAAAACAAACATTTGATACTATATATTGCAGGTGTAAATGTAAATATTTATTTAAGCCGTTTAGCTGTGTGCATGCCTATCCATTAAAAAAAAAACTGCTTTGCAAGCGCCCCCTGTTGTGCCTCAAGCTGAACTGCAGCCAATTTCTGTACAACATGATTAATGGGAGGAGTCGCTGCTCTCTACAGATCTACCTTTGCAGAGTGCTGCAGGGATTTTTCTTTTTTGGGGGCTAAAACCTTGCGTCACAAATCAGAAATCCAGATCCATCTGCTGTGGCATTGCCTCAGGAACAAGGGAACAGCCAAAAGACGCTATTGGTTACAACTAAAAGTTTGGATCCATGTTTTGTTCAGCAAAAGTTTCATGATCAATTATTGCAGAAAATAAAGAAAACAAGATATTTTAGTCATAAACCAAGGCCATTTTGAATCTAAAATTTAATCTCAATATATAAAACACAAATTTTAGGCTATAAAGCACCACAATCAGCATCAGTTGTCCACTTAAGGATTTACGACACCATAAACTCTCTCGATGGTCCCCAAATACAAATGATAACATGACATGGTTAAACTATGAAGGCGGCTGCTGCTTCAGAGTATTAACTGAGCACGCTCCTGGTCATACTTCTCACCTGATGTGCTGACTTCAGGCATGGAGACAGTGGACCTTCAAATGAAAAGTGCCCTGTAGCTGCCAGAGACTCAGACCTCATCACCAGCAAGGATCCTTCACACAAGGATAAACAGTCCAGAGAATCCCATGAAGGTGAGCTTGAATTTTCGATCCACCCTTAAATACTCATAATATCACATAAAAAAATTTTAAAAAATTAAAAAAAAATCACCTCCTAAACAAGAGGCCACAGGGCATTTATTGACTAATTTTTGTGCAACAAGGGACGAAAACATGTCACAATGTTACATTCACTTCAGCAAAATCCTAGTTACAGTGGTGACATTTCGCGTTTAATAAGTTCATCAGCTCAGTTCTCGGGGCCGAGATCGACCCCAAGTTTCATTCAACACAACAGGAATGTCATTTCAAGGCATTAAGAGATCTGCAGAAACACTGGGACATCTTAATTACACCAGCGGTCCTCTTCTACCTAGACAGTAATGAGGTACAATATTGGAGAAAAGAAATGGCACACTACAAGTAGGCTATGCAGAACACAGCACCGTGTACACTCGCCGAATGTGCAGCAAACTATTCTCATCCACATACCTCTTTCTGCAAAGCAGTGAAATTCATGCAAGGAAAGAGGATACAAGTACTGAACTTTGACCTGGACTACAAGTGACAAATTCATTAAGAAATGTACATCATCAAAAGGTCAAAGGTCGACTATTCAACTACAGCCATACATGTTTGTTATAGCTCAGCCTTACATGACCTGCATATTCAATAATACATCCAGAGAAGCTTTTTTTTTTTTT